ATCAATTAAAATTAAATAATTATCCGAAAATTTTTTATGTAGGACGTTATATTGGGTGAAACTATGCCAGACTTATTTTACGGATATAGTGGTTTTTATGCAAGTATTCAGCTTACATTCAGTGTTATAACACTTGTTTTTGGACAACATTTCGTTGGAGGATTTGCTGTTGCTAATATTTGTGAAGGAGAGTATGTATAAATTTAAGGCAGTACGGGAAAATATTTATAAAAATACACAACTAAATTCGAGAGCGCCTTTTATAGTCATGGCTGGATCTTGGTGCCTATAATTAATAAATTCTATATGAATTTTCTTAATTCCATTATTCAGCCGTTTACACTGCGCGCCAAATCAATTTCGGACTTACAACGCAATCAATTACTAATTGTAGTGAGGCTGGAATATTCGGCGCGCAGTTTAAATGGCTGTATAATGTAATTAAGAAAATTCATACAGAAATTATTAGGCACCAAGATCCAGCCATGACCGTAGAAGGCACTCTCGAATTTAGCTATGTATTCACATACGCGGTCTAGTTCAAATTATATTTATTGTTTATAAAAACATCTGCATCTCTTTTTATGTTTGTACAAAAAAATACTATTTATTATTATAGTAAATACGGAAGAAGACACAATACGTTTTTTTACAGGCAAAATGTATTTGATAATTTTCAACATGCACCAAAATATTTTATAAACAATGAATACACTATCTCTGCAAAATTGACGATTCAAGGTGGCAATAATGGTCTGGCTGTAGCTGTATGTATAAATCGAAGATTGATCTATTCGGCGCCGCCACAGCTCACTTGAGGTCAGTTTAATTAATTAATTTGTGGGTGTCTTATATCAGGCGCCACCCACGTTGCGTATGTCAGGCTTAGAAGAGCACGGGAGTTGAGGCGTTCTCAATCACGAGACAGTTTTGTTGGACGATACGTTTATTTTTACTCCTTCCTATTTACAATTTATATACAATGTACAAGGCGCGTATGCGCGGTCTTTGGTTGATTTGCCCGGAGGCCGTTTGTTGGCCCGAAGGCCGGCGTCTCCCGACGCCTCAGATGTGTGCCGCCGGAGCTTGATGTCGCTTGGTTGTAGCGTGGCTCTTAGTGGCCTGGTCCTCCGGACAGAAGACGAATCGAGTGGAAGGAGTTTCCACTCGAGCGTCGTCGGTTGTCCTCGAGACAGGGCTCCTGCCCGTGTCGTCGGTAGTCCTCGAGACAGGGCTCCTGCCCGTGTCGTCGGTAGTCCTCGAGATAGGGCTCCTGCCCGTGTCGTCGGTTGTTCTCGAGACAGGGCT